GGGTTGGTTGGCGGTGGTTCGGCTTTTTTTTTTTTTTTATTATTTTTTTTAATGTTATTTTTTTTTATTCCTAAGGCATCCTGATTTACTGGCAGAAAAACAAATAAATGACCCCGTGTACGGTTGTGGGTGCTGAATCCGTCAATGCGATTCCTGAGAATATTAAAGTCTAAATTAAAGCGTGCTGGAAAAGCATTAGCTCCTACTGTAATAGTAATAGCTGTAATAATAAAATGACAGAATTGGGAGCGATTTACATATTATTGAAGAGGAGGAATTACTGAAGAGTAATAATAGAAAAGAAAACAAGTCGGAAGCCCGTTATATAATGCACTGTGTAGACAACGAGAGCGACAGGCTATTTTTATTTTGTTTACCGTATGCTGTGTAATAGGGACTCCTCCGAGCAGCATCTCTCCCCCGTGAGCCCAAACTTCAGATAGAATTGGGGAAAAATTTTAAGCATTCCTGTTATGCCCAGACAAAGAAATCCGTGTTTGTAAAACCTTCCTCTTTACAAATGATTTCTGTGTACAGATTGGCAGAGGTGTGCAGGTAGATGACCTTTGCTGGAGACCTTTTCCCTTTCATATGGTAAAGAAATTCATATTTTGTAACACAGCTTACACTTTAACCTTTAACGCTCATGGTTATGTATTTCATGCAGTAATGGTTACTTTACGCGTCGGATATGGTCAGGAATAGTGAGTTACTGTGCTGACACACCGAGAAGTCAAGGACTTTTAATTTCAGTTTCGAATGAAACCTTCCCCTAAAGGAAAATCCCGGCTTCGTGTTAAACTGTTTCTGTTCTGGGTGATGGAGACGGTGCAATTTTATCATAAGGAGCAAGGGTTATGAATGGGGGAGAGGGAAATTGAGAATGGCCAGTGAAAATATTATGCTGTAGTTATTTTTGTGATGTGAGATAATAGTAGTAATTGTACGTTATTGCACCTAATTTGTTCATAAAACCGGCCCGGTATTTTACAGACAGCAGTTATTTTGAAAGGGTGGCTGTAATCTCACTTTTTACATAAGGCAGAGGTCGATAGGTTTTCCTTCGTGTTCGGCTGTCTGTCTGTCTCTCTCATCATGTAGCGACATGTCAGCGGTGCAGGCTTTCAGTGTGCTTACTCCAGCCCTGATCAGTCATGTAATTAGATCAGGCTGCCATGGTAACAGACGGGATTCACCGTATTCACCGTCCAGCCAGGTGTGTGTGTGTGGCTGGCAGGCGACCCAGAGGGCTACCGCCAGCTCTGTGTGTGCCGTGGGCACAGCTTCGGGCTTGCTGAAAATTGAAGGATGCCAGTGGTGGGTTCCTAATGGCTGAACTTCTTGGGAAGAGTGTTCTTTGCCTGCGGTAGTGTCAGGCAGATGGGACCGTACATGGCACGCTTAGCAGGTTAGCCAAATCGTCAGCTCCACTTGCATGTATTACTAGCAAATTAACGAAGGTGGGGTACTTTGTAAAAATGCTTTTGGCTTATAAAAGCTTGCATAAAAGTTTCTTCAGAGTTTTCCTTTTTTTTTTTTTTTTTTTCCCCCTCCTGTTTGTCTGGATTAACTGTTTGGTGGCTGTCATGTTGTTTGGAACAGTTCCCATTCCAGCATTCACATTTTAGGCCACAGGTTTGTTATTCTTCACTCGTGTACTGTACTTTACACCCTCTGCCTGGTAAAATGAAAATCAGTGATACTTGATATCACTGTTGTCACTCTAGGTTTGCTAAGCCTTGTCATAGTTCTTAGCAAGGTTTTGTGTTCTAGGTTAAAGCTGACTGCAGTTTCTCTTGATAAAATCCTAAGTATATGCTACTAAAAACAATTTTCTCCTCGGCAAACACTTCATTTCCAGTAGTAGTATTTCTTTCATTTTAATTTTTTTGTGTTTGTGCTCATCAAAATATTATAGCCACAGAGCAGGAGACTTTTTGCCGCAGTTTATAATACCTTGAAAGAATATGCAAAGAATTAGCTTCGAACTGCATGCTGCTCTTAAAAACATGTTTCATCAAGCAATGTATATTTGTCTTCATTCTCAGTGTTTAAACATCACTCTTTTAAGCCACTTTTCCACAAATGTAGGTATAATTTTTTAAAAGCACCAAATTTGGCACTGTGTTCTAATGTCATAAATCTGGAGCGACTCCAGGGGACGGGATTGTGAACCACTTACATGGGTGTATATCTAGAATAACTCCATTTATTGGACTTAATCCAGGCATGTAGTAGAGTAACCAAGCTCAGAAAGTGATCTGGTGCGTATCACTGTTATTTTCTCTATATTACTTCTCATGGCAAAAAGCACTGTGGGCTTAAATAGGATTTTTGCCTGATTAAGAAGCTGCATTAAGTGTCTGTAGAAGTGGGTAACACCCCTATTCCAGTCACTAATCTTGTGTGGACTTACACTAATATTGAACTTGGCCTGGAGGATTTCGTGTCTCAGTGATGAGAAATCATCAGCACCCACAGCTCCTGAGCATTTGTAAGTACCAGGCTGGAGCATAAAGCAATCTAGAAATAGCTCTAAAATAGATATTTTAATCTCTCTGGTGCTAAAACATTGGAGCTGAAGGAGGAGGTAATGAGAAATGCCTGTTGGTGGTTCAGCTTTGCGGTAACAGGCAGCTGGTGGTCTTGGGTTTGGTGTGATGAGTTTGCAGGTCGCAGCCTGCTTGCTGAACAGAGGTGTTTCTTCTCAGAGGGACAAGGGGAAAGGGCGTTTGCGGGCAGTTTTCTGGACCCAAAGTGCAGCTTTTCAGTGCCTCAGCTAACTTGCCCTTCTTGTTAGGAGAGAATATCCTCTGCTCAGTGTGTCTGCTTCTGTTTGGGCTTCCATACCGAGGAGGTGGCTTGAAATAGAAGAGCTCGTTAGGAGGACTGGCTGGAGAAAGTGGAATAGTCTCGCGCAGGATGACTCCTGTAGTGTGAACCTTTGTGTGCCACATGCTGCTTATACATATTTTATTGTAAGACAAATTACCTGTGTGACTAAGAGTGTTAGAAAGTAATTGCTTTCAAAAAGGCCATATATACATAGTTAAAAGACTTTTTGAAAATAAACAGTGCAACGTTTCTTGTTTGCCTTTCTGACCTGCTTGAATTTATTTAGAAAAGTTGAGAAAAATAGTCTTGTTTTAAAAGACATTTACAAGAGGCCTGGAATTTCACTTAACAACATTTTTTATATAATAGATCCAGTGGCCTAGTTTCCCATTAATTAAGAAAATAGACACTTGGATGCAGTCACCTGAAAATCAACTAAGGATTTCAACGTTAGAATTTAAAAACAATTGTTTTAGCAACATAGCTAGTAAAACAAAATCAAGCCCTAATTTTCCCCTTGCTGAAGCTTAGCAGCGCATCTTAGTAAGTGGCAGTCAGGATTATCATCGTCATTGTTCATACAATGCACTTCTTTTGTTTTGGTGTACTAATTGAAGGAGAAATGCAATAAAGAAGTATGGCAGGCTGTAAAGGAAATGCGTGTCAGAATTGCATAGGTGGTCTGAAAGCACTGGTTGGCTGCAAACCTACTCCAGCATGTGAGGCAGCTCACTCTGACGCTGCTTGAGAGAAGTCAGGCTGTGTGACAGCCTCAGCTATAAGCATGCAGGCTGTGAATGATCTGCCTGTTTTGGAGAACCGTACGGGTACGGTGTGTACAATGCAGGGAGTACAGATAACAGATTTAGTTGTAGTTATCTTCTGAGACTGCTGTAACCAACTCTGCGTTAACAGATAAAAACATGATTAGCACAAGAAACAAAAGTATGGCAGGCTTGCTACAGGTAAATATTTCATTGCGAAGAACTGACATGCTGTATTCTGGTGACTTCAATAACCTAAGCTTTGCAAAGTGAAAATCCTGACCTCATCCTTTCATTTTACTTTTATGCAAGTGTGATAAATAAATAAATAGGTATTTGGATGAAGGCACTGTATTTTGGAGTTTTTTTCAGTGGTTCACATTCTTTATATAAAAAAGTTTAAGATTTTTACGCTGTTTTGACTGAGGTGATGCATGACTAATATTTTAAAATGTAAGAAACTTTGTAGACTCCTGATTTTTGCAAAAAGACAAAAACCAGATTGATGACCATAATTTCTTTCTGATCTCAGTGCATGTATTGAGAATGTAATTCTTCGTGGGTTTTTTTCCTCATAAAGCTGTAGTATGAGGTGGTTGTACAACATGTGCAGATCTGTATGCATTCATTGGTCCCAGTCTGCAAAGTTACTTTAGTACATGTCCCAGTAAGGGTTTTGCTGAATAAGAATTGATTGAAGAACCCATCTAGAGTTAAATATGCATGTAAATCCTTCCATAAATAGGAACTAGTAAGTATGCTCATAACTGAAACAACAGAAATGCTTCTCAGTGAGGGAGAAATGGTCCCACTAAATCCTTTTATTGTACCAAGAGTGATAAAAATATTTGGTGAGATTCCAAGTGAAAAACCCAAATGTATTTTGTTTAATACGTGATGTCAGCAGAAATTCAGTGCTGGCTCTTTATAATTTTACTGAGCAAAATTACAGAAATTTTAAAAAAAATCACATTGGTAGAGTTTTGCTTTGTTTGTATTATTTGGGACTTTGCAGTAGTAGGCATCGACTCTAGCATGCCACCATTAATGACAAAATAGCGTACAAGATAAAGTCACGGTCCAAAAGGTGATTATTTTTCACCTAATAGTAGTAGTTGCAGCAGTATGTTTTCAGGATGCGGCTGCTTCTCAAATAAAATATGTTCTCTTGGCAGTGAAGGCAGTCATCTCAACTCGCTTATGATTCTTCACCTCATTAAGATCACATTTAGGAAAAGAGCACTCAGTTTGAATAAATGGGCTCTACTCTCTACTGTATGTGCTCTGTCTGCGGGATTAAATCTATAGTTTATTTGTGCTTGAGTAATAGCAAATGCAGCCTCTCTCAGTCTTCACTGGAATGTCTTAGCATGTTGTAAATTGCTTGACTCTTAACTGTGCTTTTGTTTCTTCTTATTTTGGTTTCCATCTCTTCAACTCCTGGATCAACAGTCACATCGTGGGCCAAACCAGATGGGCAAGCAATACAAGCTGTGAATTTATTCTTGACCCTGTAGGACAGTGACCACCTTCATTTTTGTCTTCACCATACAGTTATGCACTGCCAATAAGGTGAGAATGCAATGCTTTTATTTTCCTATAACAATTATACACTGTCTGCTCTGGGCTTTAAGAAGCGTGCACACCTTCCTGCTGTCTGTGTGATTACCTACCCATGATACATTTGTACTTCCCTTGCCTGGCAGTAGAGGTCCTTGAGAAACTCAGAAAAATTCCATTAACTCTAGTGACTCAGTTCAGTGACTTACAGGACAAGTGGGTTCCAGATGAGTGGTTTTATGCTCACCTCAGATCAGAGCATATTGGGTTACTAAAAGATGATAGTATGAACGGAAAAGTTGACAGACTTTGATTTTTGTTGTAAAATGCCATGTGTAAAATTATATAAATCCTTCCTGCACTTTTATGAACATTTTCAGTGGTTCCTGTTGCTTGCCACCTGCTTGCCTTTTCCACTGTCCCAAGTTCCTCCTGTGCATTAAACTTTATCTGGCGTAAGAATACTTCCTAGGATGACTAGTCACTACTGATGTGTCTAGGTGTCTTTTATTCTGGTTTGAGGAATCTTTAAAATTCTTCTGATTTTGTTCCCTGAAATATCATAGTCAGACAGGTTATAATAGTGCACATATATCAGTCTGCTCACCCTTTCCTCTCTCTCTTCTTCCCATGTGGTTGTGGAGAATACTTTTAAAAAACCAAGTCCCAAGACTCAACAATCGTACTGCCAATAAAAAGAACATAAATTTTTATTTTATTTCTTTAATCTGATTGTCATTAAGCCAGCCTGGTTTTTTGGACCTGTTCTATGATTTTTAAGTGCTTGGGATTGGCAATACTGCTAATGCTTTAAAAAAAAAAAGATAAAGGGTCATAATAAAATTGCTTGTGTCTTTAAATGAAAGAAAATTAAATATAGTGATTACTTGCAGAAAATCAAAGTTGTTTTTTTTTTTTTTAATTTACTACCAGAAAACTTAATTACTGTAGCATTTTATGTATGTGAGGCTGATCAGAAAGTCTCCATTGCAGAATAACTTTTTAATGTATACAGCATGTCATAGCAAAGTATGCAGCCCATAATTTACATTTTATTGTGGCTGTGGGGAAGGGTGCTGTGTTTTAAAGGGAAGTTGCCTAAGCAAGTACTTATGTGCAAAGACATGTCTGTTATGGTTTACAAATGATCTTGAATGGTGAGGGTAGATTTTAACCACTGTATCTCTTTGGATCAATACGAATTTCTTGAGAGTGAAAAACCACACAAAGTGCCCTGTGCACTGACACACTTCGTCTTTCTATTTTGGAAGAAAACTGGCTTGGTAGCAGCTATAGTAGTGACTAGCTTTTGACTTGGGAGATAGAAGGAAGCTTTTTGTTATGACATTATCATTTCCACAAAGCTTTTCATTTTTTTTCAGGGTAAGCTTGGGTTGTATGAAAATGTATTTATTTGAAGAAGTGATTACTCAAGGAAAGGCTTGTATTTCTTAATTAGAAAAAATAATAGTTTATAGTGTATTGGTCAAATCCTATGAATAATCAGATTGTTACCCACAATGTTGCTAAGTCACCTTGAATATTTTAGCATCTCGGGTTTTCTGCAGTTGCAGAAGAGAGAATATATTAGATGTTAAGCAAACATTTTGGATAAAAAAATGTAACCCAGTGAATTCTGGTGCAGAGGCACGACAGGAATATAGTTATAAACTGCTGGTTTTTCTGTACCAGCTCAACTTGAAGTATAGTGTTGTATTTGGGGATCTTAGATTTGATTTAGTTTAGCTTCTTTTCTTGTTGGACTTTTTAGTCACTGAATTTGGGGTATTTCTGTTGACCTCATTATTTAGTTCTTGTCTTCTCTATGGAGCAATCAAAATCAGGCCCACTGTATAACTAAATAAGTGAGATAAAAGTTGTTGAGATAGACACTGCCTGCTTACAAGTGTTCTCTCTCTCACTGGGAGAAATAGGCAGGAACTCACAGTAGTAACACATGAAAGAAACGTGACCTGGCACCGTGCAGTGAGCAGCCACAGGTAAGATTCACAGCTTAAGACAAAATATCTCATACTCAGGCCCGTTGTCTTTGTGGCATTTGCATTTATTTTGGGGTGAAGGTAGCGACAGCTCTGCTCTTGTTTCAGGCAGACCCGAGTTATTACCATGGTGTCTGTCAGAGAGACTGAACATTGGATGCATTTGAACACATCCAGAGATGAGATCTCAGAAACTGTTCTTGAGACCTACTATCCCTACATGTGCGTTCATGGCTTTACTCACCTGAGGATTTGTGTGGCTTCAGGGAGTAATGTCGCTGCCATGTGTGAGCTCCAGTGTGCTTACCCTTCCAAATAAAGCAGCAGCATTTTTTCCAGAGCCTGCTAAGCATGTTGCCTGGATAAGAAAATGGGGTTTAGTAAAAATAAAATGAAATAAAAATAAATAGATAGAGCTTTGCTTTTTTTTTTTAGTTAATTTTAGCCTTCTCTACTGTTATTTGTTTTGTTATTCTCTCTATTGTTATTTGTTCACAGTATGCACTGCCTCCTTCCACGTAGGCAAATGACTCAATGCTTTCTTTTAAACAGTTGTCTTGAGTGGATTTTGCATGATACACTGGACATTTTAACAATTAAAGAGTTCTTTTTAATCTTTTCCACTGTCAAGTCACTTGATATTTATGAATCATATTATAGTGCTGGGTTGAATTTACAGCTGCAGCCCATTTGTAAAAAATTTTTTGGGGCAGAATTTTCAATAAGTATGTCTGTACACTATCTTTTGTAGCTTATTTTGTACATAAGACATAATTTCTGTTTTATGCAGGCTTCTGGCTACTGCTCTCTGTAAACAGACAACAGTCTACCCTTTTAAAATACTTAATAGTGACCACAAAAAGAGCCAATCTGTCTCTATATTACTGTGTGCAATGGTAGCTTTTTGGTTATCATTTCAGTGTCCTTTTATCATAGCTGGTTTTATTTCTTCCCTCTCATGCTGTTTATGAAGGTCTACAGTAGCTGTAGGGTTAAAAGAAGATAGGCAGTGGAGATTTTTAGCATGTTAAGAGCACAGGTGAAATGGAGCTGTGAACTAGGTATAATAGGATAGTAATTAGAAATAATTTTATTTTTTTAAATTGTTTTGTGCGTGGGTAACTCAAAGGTAAATTAAATGAAATGCTGTGAGTGCAGGCATTGAGATGTGAGGCTTTGTGGTCTCCTCACCTCAGCTGTAACCTTTCATGTTTTTGCTCTGTTGTTCCTTCAGCAGATACTGAAGGTCTGGTGTCTGACTGATAGAAAGTTTCATACACAGCCCGAAGTGTAAATGCAGTTGTGTGTAGTGGTCTGTCTACATAAAAATACAAGACACATGTTCATAATGTGATACAAGCCACAATCTGAGGTTTGATTCACCTTCCACCTTGGTGTTTTAAGAAGGTGTATCAAATGGAATAAGAAACTTGCTGTCCCATGCTCTGCAACTTGTTAGCATTAATTTCAAAGTGTAGGCTTTTGGATGTTAGTGTAAGTATGAGAGAGTTGGAGAGCTTCTGTGTCCTGGGGGCCGAAAAGTGGTGAGGTGACTAGATGTGACATGAAATTGTGTATACGCCTGAGTCTGTGTGTGTGCCCCCCTCCTGGGCATGGTTTTGGGTATGGTTTTGGGTGAAAGTTAGCCTTCTGTACCAGGGGGTATAGTTTTGGTCAAAAGTTAACCCAGGTGGCAGCATCTGGATTTAAATGTGTTGACTAAGGGGTTTCTCATAGTGAGACAGTGATAGAGGCAAACGCTAAATTTGATAATTGCTTCTTTATTTTCTCATCAATTACTTATTTAGAACTAGCTGTAAACTTGACTTTAGGATTTTTTGTGTCACTCCTTGCACTGTAAAAAAGTACAAATGTTAAAGAGTTTCTCACTCATATTGGAGTGTGGTTGTGACTGTTACCATATTTTTGTTTGTCAGATACCCAAAGGCATGAAGGCCATTGCAGTTTTGTATGTTTAACATTTCTGTGAGGCCAGCTACTTAAAAGAAAGTCTTAACAGGCCTAATCCCTTACTGTGCTCAGATATTTCGTACTTGTGAATATTTTCTTCTTCGTGCAGTTCCTTTTCAGTGCCATGTGTAGTAGTTGAATAGAAAGTGATATTTTCAAATGTATATGATAGTAAAGGCATTTCTCCTTTTCTGTAGCCCCTGAGCACATTCTCTACTTGATACTGTGCTGTATTCATAGCTTTTCCAAAGTAGTCTGACAACAAGCAGATCCAGAATGGTTTGAAAATTCACTGTATACAAGAGAAAAAAAAATCCTAGTAGGTTATTACAGTACAAGAAGTTGTAACTTTATTCTCCATGTACCACTAGCTGTTAGAAACCCCTTGGCACTAATCATATGTACTGCATTTTTATTTACAGATTAGTAGGCTCTACTCTGACATATGACTAACAGGGAAGCCCCTCCCTTTAACAGTTGTATGTCATCTGCTTCAGAGAACTAATTACTTGGCAATTCCCATTTGATAATTCCCTCTTTATTTTCTGATGAGTTACTTAACAGTGATGAGCTTGTTGGGCAGAATACTGTGCTTAATCTGTGCTTCAGAAACTACAGTGCAGGCCTGGGGATATCATTGTTTTAGAAATGCTGTTTAGCCTTGCCATAGGAACATTGAAACAACACTAAGACGTGAACAGTTCACAGTTAACAGCTGAACGTGAGTGATGCACAGCTTTTGCCAAAAAATAAAGGAAGGGTTTAGATTACTGTTACACTGCGAACAGAATCTTAAATACATAATTTCTCAAAAAAAGACAAAACTAAACCTAATGTAATTTAGACATCAAGAAGCAAAAGCTTATATCTTCTGTGTATCATTGCTCCTCTCCACTGAAATAATCAATTTAATGGAAATTTTTTTCTTTTAAAAAACCTACTCTTTCTTGTAATACTTATCTGACAGTTCAGCTGATTCCTGGTGATTATTGCGTTCTTTTAATATGAGACAGATAAGTTTTTACCGTGTTTTCTCTGCTGTTACCTGTCTTTTTCATTCTTCCCCAATCCCTTTTCACATTCTTTTACTCTAGTGGCCACAGCAACTGTTGTATCTGGCTGGGGAATGCATTGGAAGTCTCACTGTTAATTACAACATCGCAGTGTTTCTAGAGGGTACCTGAGTTCAGCAGTGCTTAGCTACAGCGCCAGGCGAGGGGATTTATGGGGTGAAGTGACATCAGCCTGCTCATGGCAGTCATGGTAAGGTCAAAGTGAGTCTCTTTTGCAGATCAGGAATCAGGTGGGTCCTGTTTATTACAGTGCCTCTGAAATTCAGCCATGCAAAACCATACTGTTGAATTTGAATAAGACTTTGTTACTGATTTCAGTAGAGAAAGGTTTATGGATCAGCTACAGTCGCTTTGACTAGCTGGTGGCATTATTTCACAGATACTGATACCTGTAGATTTCCATTGTAGCTGAGTCGGTGCTATAAGCTGAGAATTGGGCTATTTTTTTTTTCCACGAATAAAAAGTGTAGTAGTTTGTGTATTAGCTCACATGACATTGCATCATTGGGCTTGCTGATTTATTAGATATTCACAATGCTGTTGCTTGGCCAGTACTGGAAGCTGTGTCACAAGCTTGTTTTATCAATGAGAAAAATGGTAGATAGTTACATGTGTTTTTTAGCAAAATTAATCAGAGGAACAGTAATTTTATGAAACACATAATGCAGAACAGATTAATCTACTTTAATTGTGTTCTTGAAGTACACCAGTTATAAAATCTTTTTGAAAGGATTGCTAATCAAGTTGATCAAAGGTGGCTTGAAGTACAAAATTCAAATATGAACACATTTACTTTCTATTTATCTGTATGTTTGCTGTAGCTTGGGTTTGGGTTTTTTTTTTAATTTTTAATACAAAAAAGCGTCCCATTTTCCTTTTTGGATTTTTTTTTTTTTTAAGAGAGTGTGTTGTGTTTTAAAAGCAAAGATACAAGAGGGCAAAACATATAAAATTTCAGATTTTGTAAAATGCAGTAAGTAGGGAGCATAACAACACAAGCAATTGAAGCCCCACAGAAGGTCATTGAACCATTAAATTTTTTTTGACACTTACGTTTTATCCTATTTAATTTTTTAATGAGTCAAGGTGTCTCAGGTAGTGCTGTATAGGCATTGCTGAAAACAGAAATCCTCTGTAAGAATCAGAAAAGAAATATGACTGTGAGCAAAATGCCCCACCTGTGATATGAAGGTTTGCTTACACTGCTGGGAGTTGTCCCTTGACAAATCCTTCTACGAACCATTATAGCTGTTGTGAAGGGCCCTACATCCCGAGCTGTGATGTCATATTCATTTCCTAGAGGCAGCCAAAGAGTTATTAGATGGTGATTCAGGCCAGTCTTCAACTGCCTACTCAGACATGGTCTGTCCACCTGTGAAACACTCTCTCCAGGCTTAGCAGCATTTCCCCAAAGGCTGAGACTCCGCTTGGACAGCACTGCCTATGATTTCAGAAGAGGTTGTACTAAAAGACTACATATGTGGTCCAGGGTATTTTCTTCCCTCAGCAAGGGGAGGTAGTGTTGCTTGTTACTGAGATTGAATTTTAGACTAAAATGTTCAGTCCTAGAAACACCAATACACAGAATCACAGAATATTCCGAGTTGGAAAGGACTCACAAGGATCATCAAGTCCAACTCTTAAGTGAATGCACCAATACTATTTCTATTAATAAAACAGTAACATATGAATATTGTGAACGTGATCTTCATTTAACACAAGATTTTAATTACATACTAATGTCTTAAGATTTGGGCATCTGGTTGAAAACAAAGAAAATCCGACGATTAACATACGGAGAAGGTTTTTCTGTTGACAGCTGCTGTTTTCTCCCTGGCACTCAATGGTACCTTCCTCTTACTTTATTACAAATGAGAGACTGATACATCCTAGAAACTGTGTTTCTTTCATCTGGATTCTCTTTCCCTTTTTCCACAGCTGCCCTGGGCCATGCTATAATGAGTCCTCTGTGAGCAACACTGGCTGATGGACTAGCCAAAGATGACCTGGTACATCTGGTCAAATTATTTGCCTTTGCATCTCCTTGTTTGCAGAACTGAGGAGCTGGTTCACCTCTTTACATTGGACTTGCCTGTGTCCTCTTTGAATTAGGGTTAGAGTTTCAGGTTTCCTACTTAGCAGGCTTGCTAAACTTTCTTGGATCTCTGCTGTGATCTGGCCTGATATTTCTGTTGTTAATGACAGTCTTGAAAATCCCTTGTGATTTCCTTTGTGAACTTGACAGTTGCTTAATTAAATTGTGGGGAGATAAGTGACATGTCAGTATGTGTAACACATCTGTGTTCTGTTTTATGGGGAAAGAGGACTGAATATTTGCACTAGATGACAGAATAACTAAGTCTTGTTGCCTGGTCTTCAGCTGTGAGAGTGATACAAACCAGCATGGGTGCATCCTACCATTTTTTGATCACCACTAGTTTGTTTTGGTTGCTTCACAGTAGCAGATTCAGAGGAAATATGGTGTGTGGTGGCTGAGGAAATTAAAGTAATTCCTGAGTGAAAATATGACATTACGTGATGGTATTGTCCAGATGTTGTTATCTGTTAGTTTACAGCCAGAAGGAGCCCTAAGGAAAATTGAAGTGGGTAGAAGGTTTATAGTAAGCATCTGAGCTGCATTAAACATCAGCAATCAAGTACACCCGTTACCTAAGGAGTCAAACTTGTTGAATGTCATGTTGGCTGTATGGAATGGGAGAAATGCAAACTAAGACACACTTCTGCTATGTGTGCAGCTCTGCTATGAAGAGCGTTTATCTGAGCTGTCAGCTGGCTGGCTGCAGTGTTTGGTGCTGTTCACACAGCTCAACCAGAGTGTCTCTATGAAACCTGTAGTGCTGCAGCAGCCGGGCGTTTTACGCTCCTCATCCTATTAGACATGAACTGCATGTGTTCCACATTGCACTGAGGTGCTCAACCAAAGGCTAGGTGAAAAAAAGAGGTCAGGTTTCCACCTCTGTTAGTTACTTGGATGGTTTAAATGGAGCCATGAGGGTGTAAATGCCGTGTGATGGAGCCTAGAGTCTCCGGGGTGTGTCAGGGCCCTCTGGACTCAGAGCTGTTGCTGGCAGGTCAGCATTTCTGATCAGACACTGCTTGTTTGGCAGCAGTAGAGCATTCGCTTGGCTTTTCCTCCAAGTGGAAAGGGAGTGAAAGCTGTTTCTTAGTCAAGTGTCATCAGTCTTCTTTCCTTGTTATGGTTCAGGTGGATGTGTTGGTGAATTAGACTAATTTTTCTTTATATAGCTCAAGTAGTGTTTTGCCTTTTTATCTTTCTCTCCTGTTTTAACCATTTCCAGACTTCATTCTCTTATTGCTGGCCAATTAATTTTTCTCCTTACTGCCTTCTCTACCAAGATTCTCCCATGCTCAGCAATTCTTGCTGCTGCATATCTGACCTACTTGTACAGCTCCCTTGCTGGGTGTGTTACCTGCGTGATACTTAGACTGTGTGTTGGCCTTTTCTTTAGTTTGATTTTTTTTGTGTGTGTTTCTATGTGTCTAAAATGTATTTCTGCTTAGAGTGTTTCAATACCTCAGTAGTTTTCTTCAGAAACACAAATTTGAGTGTTATTTCATTTACTTCCTTTCCTAGTTAGTAATTGCTGGATTTTGAGCTTTGCAACCCCAATGACCCTCCTGAACAAGCCTTTCACTCCATGTAGCCTTCCTCTTCTCCTCACGGGTAAAAACCCTTTATTTCTTCTCTGAAGCTTCTCTGTGGGTGCCTGTTTCCCTGGCTGAACATTGGATTTTCAGTCCGTATGCCCCTGCCAGTCTTCCCTGGCTTCTGCTGCAGTGTCTCTTCAGCAGACATCTTGCTTATACAGCTTTTCTGCTGATCTCTAACAAATCAGTAGCATATATTTGTTTGTATAGTATTACATGCTGGCATTGTAAAAAAAAAAAAACAAAACCAAAACAAACAAAAACCCACAAACCCAAAACTCATTCAGTTATTTTCTCTGTACCTGAGCATGAGACAGGAGCCACTCCCTTTGGGTCACTTGTTCATAAAATAATGGGGTCACTATTACTTTGTTATCATGTGATCTGCTAATTGAAGGATTCTTTTACTGTGTAATAGCAATAATTCAAACTGTTAATGTAAATTTAAAAAAATATAATACCCTTTTCATGTATCATACTGATGGGACAAAAGTAGCAGCTTGGGCACTCTTCCTTGGGCTTCCATTTCTATTCATATGATGACTCTGATCCAGTGGTAAAGTTCTGTAGTAATGTGTAAGGAAACTTCCAAGATAAAATGTAAGTTAAATTAAAAAAAAGAATTTTTGAAAAGCACTTCATTCAGAAAAAGAAAATAAATTTGACATAGTATGCATTTTGAGTGAGGTTCTTCAGAGAAGGAAAAATTCCTGGGCTGCTATGGAGAAGTACTGGAATGAAGCAACTACTGAATGAGTGAGGTTCACTTAAGGTGTGAAGTGAAAATATGTGAGGGTTTTTTGCTTTTTGTGTGTGGGTGTATCAGTGTGCTTTTGGCACGAAGTGACTGTTGGAATAATATTGTGGCTATGGCAGATTTAAAAAAAAAACAATGGTAAGTATTTGGTTGATAATTCTCGAATTGATATGTTTTCTCAAAAAAGTAGGCTTTTGACAAAACAGAAAACCATCAAAAATAATGCTTTTATCTGGAAATTGATAACCGTTCTTATTATAAGTAACAATAAAAAGATACAGACTAAGGAATATTAGAGGTAAATACACATTTTCTAAGTTGTTTTACTCAGTGAATATAACAGTAACTTGAATATAGTTAGTTTCGCTTTTTCTTTATATAGGCAGTTTCCCAAGGTGAGAGAAACATCTGAAAAAAACCCCAACCACATGCTTATAAGATTATAAAAACTGGTGCAGGGAGCTCGAAGGCATGAGTTACTACTTTTAAAGTCCTCTGTTAAAAACAAGGCTAGACTCCATATTGATGGAGTCCTTTTAAAGGCAGTGCCCTTTTAATCAGCAAACAGGTCCTCTGTGCATCAAATAATTAAAAATAGAGCAAAGTTTCTGAACAAGGCGTCTGGCAGAAGCGTCTGTACTTCCATCTGTGCATGATTAGCAGAATGTTTCATGATATTTAAATAGCACAAGCTTTGCTCTCTTTTTTATTATTTGTTGTGCTGAAGACCTGTTTGCTTGTTAAGTGGTCTTTTTTGAATAGTTACTGGCAAGGAATCAGCTTGAACACACTGCAAATGCCAAATTGTCCCTTTTTTCAGAGAGACGCTGCCCTTACTGTTTTTTTTGTTTTTTTTTTTTTTTTTTTTTTTGGTGGGAGTTTTACCACAACTCTCACTTGGTGTTAAAATTTTCTTAAGGACCAGTTCGTTTCAGAGGGAGTTTAGCATGTATTTATGGTCCCTGCCCGTGGGCTACAGTTTCAGTGATAATGGCAGTTATTTTCATGGCAGTGTCGCTCGGAGGCGCGTTACAGTGCGAGTACGCACCAGGGTATACTTGCAGAGTATGTCGGCTCAGCTCTGCAGCTTCTGTTGGCAGTGATGGGAGCCATGCGTCTAATCTGCTGTGCACACTGGTCCGAAGCCTTACCCTTTCAGTGGGGATGTAATCAGCCAGGCAACAGCTTTCCAAGCGGTTTCGAGGCCTTAAGCTGGGACTCCTCCTTGCTGGCAGTCATTCAGCGTCAGATTGTGTGCTCCTTGTCTCTGGCTAGCAACACGGCGCTTTGCAGATGTGGGCACTGATTTCCCTCCACACTAGTAAAGTTTCTGTGTGTGTGTTTTACAAAGGCCTGTACAAGAAGGTATGGAATGAAAAGAAGCCACTGTCTGGATGCTGAGTGCATTGCTGTAGCTGGCTGAGGGCAGTTCTGTTATGTGCAAGTGCCTGGTTGTTAGGAGCAGGCAGGTTGGCAGGGAGCTGAGACACTCATATGGGCTCAGAGGTCCTTTGTGGAAAGCCAGTATTCAGTCTTTGGACAATCTGTGTTCTTGGATGGGCATGGAAAATAAGAGCTTTTGTGGTGTGTGTAAGTGGTGTTTACTCTGTAGCTAGGCTTTTTGTTGCTGGTTTGTTTTTTTTTTTCTTGTGTTTGAGAAACACTGTGGTGTGTGATGTATGAATACTGACCTGGGTCATCTCTTAACTTCAGTTGAAGACTTCAAAAGAAGTTGTGGT